TAGGAGTCCGATAAACGTGGCGTCCGTTTCACCCATGAGCTGTGCAATCTTAGCCAAGTCACTATCTCTCCAAGTTTAGTTTCATCCTCCGGCAGATGAAGATGGCTATGGCACCCACCTTGTTGGCTTTGTGTGGGGGTTAAATGAGATAGTACACAGAAGTGACTTCACAGAGAGGCTGATGCCAGGAGACAGACAGTAACTATTAGCTAGAAAGCTGTGAGCCAGCAGGAGCAGCTGGGGCAAAACAAGAGAGAAACGAAGCTTTGCCTGTGGGAAATTGGACGCTCTCTCCAATTCTGAGGCATGGCTCAGCTGCTGGGCTCTGTCTGAATTGCGGCTGGGAGAACACAGCAAAGTTCTTACTGTAGCGGGGGGCGGGGTGGGTTGGCTCTGCCCTCAATGATTCCACGCCTGCCTTCTCACTCTAAATGCCCAGAAAGGCAGAATCTCATTTACTCAGCCTTCCTCACGACTAGGGACAGTCACGTGACTGCCGGAGGGGGCAAAGGGTGCCGAAGGGTTTCTGGGAAGATGTCCTGCCCTGATCAAAGGAACTGAGAGCACAGGGGAGGCCCTGCCCTCTCCCCCTTCCCCACCTCCTGAGTTGGAGTAAGGTTACCTGAGCACCTGATGCTTTGGGCTGCAGTCAGGGAATGGGAAAGCATCAAGCCCGAGGACAAAAGCCAAGAACACATCCTGTGGGAGAGAAGGAAGGAAAAGATTCTGGACTTTCCCAAGTGATTCAATCTCCCAAGGAGCTCGTGAACCCCCAGGCCAACCCAGAGACTGCAGACCTCTTAACAACAAACAGTCCCGTGTTTCAAGACAACTTACTTGGGTTTTTGTTACTAGCAGGGAAGATCATTCTTCAAGGATGGCCCCATCATGGTCTATTTCCATGGTTTATACCCAGGAGTAGAATTGCTGGGTCATATGGTTAACTTTATGTTTAACATCTTCAGGCACTTCCAGAATTTTTCCTACAGTGGCAACACCATTTTACATGAGGTTTCCAATTTCTCCATGTCTCCAACATTGGTTCTTTGAGGTAGATTGGGAGACTTTTTTTGTTTGACAAATTCCTATTCATCCTTGAAAAGCCACCTTTCATGTTACCTCTTCAGGGAGTCTTTCCTGACTGTTCCTTACATTCCAAGGTAGGGTTAATCTCTACTGCTTCTGTATCTTGCATTACTTTGCTTTTGCATCTATTCTGTAACTTTGGATAGCTACATACATCTGCTGTGGGATTATGGCTGGAGAAGAGCAGGAGTAGTGTTGGATTTGAATCTGCATAACCAGTATCAAGGCACGAAAGAAATGCTCGGGGGCCAGATGGAGATGAGTAACTTGCTTCTCCACACCAGCTGGCGATTCGTCCACCTGGAGAACCGGTTTCTATCCTCTGCAGCCTCCCCTTGCTCTTCCAACAAACATGGCTGGGCAGTGGGGTCTGGAGCGGTGGGGTCTGGGGTGCTCCCCATTCAGCCTCCAGGGGCCTCTGCCATGCGCATGGACACACTATGCATGAAAATTGACTCAGGAAACTTGAAGGTGACCAAGAACAGGGACAAAATACCACCAAGGTCCTGAGTGATCCACGACCTTTGCCCCTGCCTTCCCAGGGTGACAGGTGAATTGTGAAGACAGCAGATTTGTGCCTGAGACAAGAGCCAGGCAAGGCTGAGACTTGAGGGTCAGACTTGCACTGCCACTCTCCAGCCATGTGGCTTTATGGAAGTGACTTCTTTTCTCCAGGCTCTGTGTCCTCACCTGTCAGGGAGGCTTAGGAACCCTCTTCCCTGCAGAGTGGTTGATAAATGTAAAGGACTCACAGCAGGGCCCAGTGTATAGGGAACCCCTCAAGAAATGCCCATAGCCATGCCTGGGGGATGGTCAACTGGTGAATGGGTAAGGAGAGTGTGGCATAGATACACAGTGGAGTACTATTCAGCCATAAAGATGGAAAGCATGTCATCTGCAGGAAAATGGATGGGATCAGAGATCATCATGTTAATCAAAATAAATCAGACTCAGGAATACAAATATCATTAAGGGGGTGGAAGGGAGAGAGAGCACGGAGGAAGATTATTAGGGCAGAGGAAGGGAACAAATAGGAGGGATGGACAAGGGGGAGGATAAGCAAGGAGGAGAGAAACGAGGGGTGGAAATGATCAAAGTGCACCACACGCTTGTAAGAATATGCCAAAGTGAAGCCATTTTTCTGTATAACTAATATGTACTAAATCTATACCTAATGTTTTTTAGAAAATAAATGCTGGCTTTGTTTATTTTACCTTCCTGTCTTCTGCTAAGTTCATTCCGAATCCCTCTTAACAGGCTGACTTGGGGGCGGGCTGTTCGAAGTACATCCTTCTCTTTGTTCTTTGCCTCTTTCCCATGCCAGGGTCTGAACTGGAGACCTCGGGACCTTGACAAGGGAGCGAGAGGCGCACAATGCCGGCAGCTTGCTCCTGTGCTCAGATGGCGAAGCAGGTGCTCAGGGAGGCCAAGTGTCCGTCTGTTGTCACACAACAGGAAAGCGGCACTGTAGGACCCAGCCCTGAGCGAGGCTGACCGAGCCCAAAGCCCCTCATCCCTGTGCTGCTGCCTGGGGGGCCAACTGCTCCCCAAGTGTCGCTGAGCCCAAGAGAAGGGTTTTATGCTGAGGTCCTAGGATTAAGGAGGAGACTGTTCCTGGCTCTCTTGGGCATGCAAGTGTGTGCGTGTGTGTGTGTGCATATGTGTGTGCGTTTATGTGCGTGCGTGAGCGTGTGTATGTGCCCGTGTGCGGATGAAGGACACTGCAGGAGAGGAAAAGCAGAGGCATAAACTGTTCTTGAGAATGGGGACAACGAGGTGAAGGCCATCGCGCGCACAGTGCTGGCTTGAGCGGGATCCCGTGAGCGCTTCCACCTGGCCGTCCTTACTTCTGTTTGTGGAGAATAACAGCCCAGGGCGCCTGACTCCTCTCTCCTTCCAGTACGTGCTGACTTCCAGCCAGGGGAGCCCTCGGGCCTGTCTCTTAGAGTCTTTGTCTGTTCTGAGGTTACTGCCAAGAGCTTGTGGAAGTGGAGTAAGGAGGACTGCGAGTGACTGCTGTGAGGATCTGGCCTTGGGGACGAGGAAGCAGCTCATTCCCAGGCTCCTGATGCCCAGCGACGGTGAACAGACCACACCATGTCCTCCAGGACACAGGCAGAGGCACAGATGCAGCTGGGCTGTGGCCACCAGGTGTCCGGGCAGAGGCTTCCACCCAGGCCCCAGGACGTCCTTTGCCTCTGCCTGGCAGAGATCATGCGTGGTCTGGATAAAGCAAGAGGAAAGGCTAGAAATCCGGGCTTGGAAAAAGTGAGGACCTGTTTCCAGGCTGAAGGGACTATGGGGGACAGGGCCCCTTCTCCCAGGGTGGCTTCACCCTGAACTCGCGCTGCCTCATGGGGCTGGGGGGCCCTGTGACAGCCTTCCCACAGCTTTGCTTTGTGAGGAGACAGTGGAGCACATGGCCATGCCGGACACATAGGTGCTCAGAAAATGGCCCCTTCTGTCACCCCCCGTAATGACCCCTGTGTGGGGGTGGGGGGTGAGGCCCTGGAGAAGTGAGATGTGTCAGAGCTGGGCCAGAGTGAGTGGCCACAAGGATAGTAGCAGTGGAGCTCACCTGGCACTACCGAGTCAAGTGCTGGTGCCTGGCCCTTATTTCACCCTGGTAAGAACTGAATGCCATCGTGGCCCACTTCACAGATGAGCAAACTGAGGCTGGGGTTACTAACTTAGCTAAAGTCTCTCCACTGTCTTGTGGCAGAGTGGAGAATCAAACCCATGTTGTAGTGTTGTTAGGTGCTGTTCTCTTCTGCACTAGATAGGTGGAGAGCCCGAGTCTCAGAGAAGGAAGCGGGGCAGGGGGAGCTGCTCATTGAAGGCTTCCTGCCCGGGGTCAGGTCAGGCAGTGAGCAGGAACTCTGGGGTCAGACGCACCTGGGTTTCCATGCTAACTCAATGACAGGCTTGCTGCTGGATCACAGGTATGATTCTCGGCCCTCAAACCTCAGTTTCCTCACCTGTGGAATGGGGGAGACATTAACCACTTGGCCAAGCCATGTGGATTGAACTTCAGGACTTCTGCTCGCTGCCTGGTGCAACAGAAATACCAGGAGATGGGCGGCCCTGCCAGCTTCTGACGGCTGTGCCTACCTCTATGGACCACTTGGCTGCTGCCAACCAAGGAAAAAAGCTCATTTTCTTCCCAATTCAAATACCCCTGTGTGCGGGAGGGTCCTGCAGCCATGCAGAGTGCAGTCTTCCATCTGCCGCGGGCCCGGCCCAGGGCACAGGGGGCGGGCGGCCCCCACCCGGCCCGCACACAGGCACATCGCTGCCCATATTTTGAGGGGGATTTCATTCTGTGTTGCCGCCAGCCCAGGCTGCGGGGCTGTGTGCCTGCCAGGGCTGGAGTGCCTGGCGCTGCTCAGTATGTACTGGAGTCGCCTGGCATCCGTGGCAAATGTACACAGAAACGCCCCAGCACACATGGGCTCCGACGCAGGGCAGCGCGCGTGCCCACTGCCTCCTGGGTCCCTTTCTCTGCCATCCTCAAGACCTCCCAGCTTCCCACCGTCTCTGTGCCTGTCTGTCCCTCTGTCCCTGTGTTTTGAGTCTGTCTCCTTTCCTGGTTTCCTTATGCCCTACCACTGACTCTCTCGAGTTGTACCTGTCCCTCTACATGTCCCCTGTCTGACTCGCTCTTGGCTGTCTCCGAGGCTTTCTCTTTCTCCCTGCTTTGCCTCATCGCTCCCTGATTCTGTGACACTGCCTCTTTCCGTTCCCCATTCTCCGTGCCTCTCCATTTGTCTCTGTGTCTATCTGGCTGCCTGACTCCTCTGACTGTCACTCTCTCACTTGCTCTCCCTCTCCCTGTCTTTCTCTAACTCATCCTGCCTCTCCTTTCCCCTACCTCTGTCTCCTCTTCCCTGTGACAGTCTCCTGGAAATGTATCAAACAAACACTGAAGTGGCCGGATTTCAAGTGACAAACAGCACTACACCCAGAATCCACCCCCACCCACCACCGGCTGCTCCCTCCTCCACAGCGAGAAGAGAAGCTATTGTGTCAGGCGGGAGTTGAGTGGAAGGGCCTGGGGCTCTGTGCTCCACTGCTCTGAGCTACTTACTTCCCCATTGGCTCCGAGCAGCCTGTGCTCAGCGAGGGCTGAGCGACAGGGGGAGGCTCTAGCCATAAAAGGGGGGACGAAGCTCCAGAACTGCTATTCTAAGGGGCTTTGGTAGCGCTCACAGCTGCCTCTCTGGCCCCTCCCTGAGCTGGAGTCGGGGCTGACTCTTGGACCAGCCACCTGCCACCACGCTACAACCTGTTCTGCCGGAAGCCGTCCACGGACAAAGCAGTGTGCGGGTAAGGTCCAGAGGGGCCCTGGGTTCTTGCTGTTGGGTTTATTTGTATACTCTCCGTGGGACCTTGGGCTGAGGGTTTCAGGACTAGGTCTGATTATCTGGCAAAGGTAGCTGCAGTTACAAGGTGAGTTTACAAAAGCCTGAACAGGAGAGACGACCATCCGTGGGGATCTCCCACTCTGTACAGTCCTGGTTTGCACAGGTACAGCTGCCCCCAAGAAGACCACCCCGCATTTAGTCCCAGGTTTTTCTCTCACCGGCTGCTGTACGGTGGTTCCCATGTCAGTTTCCAAGGTGCGGTGAGAATGGGATGCCCCAGCTGGGAGATGTGAGTGGTTTTGCTAATCAGGGTGATTTTAAAGGTCAGCGATCTTCTCTGGACTCAGAGAACAGGGCCTGGGGACATTAATGAGGTTCTGGGCTCTGACATTTATCATATTGTCATGTACATCAATGTACAACCAAGTTCAGCGTTTTCACACTTTTTGGATCACATTTAATTGTCGATCAGGTGCGGATTTGAGTGGCTTCCTTTGATGTCATTTTACACAGATGAAGTTTGGGAGTGTTTTCTTGGGAGAGGAGGAAAATGAAGGACAGAATGCCAGGACAGCCAGGCTGAGCAGAATTTTCCTTGTCAATTTTACTTGGAACGGACTTGTTGCTTTCATTTAAATTACAGCCAGAAGTGGATAAGTTAGGCAGGGAGGAAGCTCAGGTAGGTAAAGATATTTGCTCTCTGGTAAAGAGAGCCATGTTCAAAGAAAGTACACTAGGAGCTCAAAGTTTGACTCCAGCAAAATTCTGGTGAGCTTCAAGGGGGGAGAAAAAGCCTGCTGACAACACCAGGGTTGAATAGTCAATTCTGTGACCTCTTACTTCTCCCTGGGTATCTTTTTCCGAGAATCTTTCGAGCTTTACAAACATTCCTTAATTAAGCCTTCAAGCTTCCCAGGGGGAAACAAGCTCTTTAGGTTATTGGATCTGATTTCATTTCCCCTCCCACAGACTGAAAGTCCTCATTATCATCTTTCTTCCAAGGGTTGTCTTTCTAATTTGACAGGCACCGCCATCAAGATCCATGGCATGGTGCGCGTAAATCGTTTCAGAATCAGTCCTCTCTGTTCCTCGTCGCGGGCCTCACCATCCCCATTCCTCCGCCGTGCACTTTCCTTCCCTTTCAGCCTCACCTTCGCGCCCCACGCCTGTCCCACCCCACCTTGCCTTTGTTCTATTTTTGCAGGTCATTTATCTCCAGGTTTTGAGATCTGCGTGGGGGGAGCTCTTAAGCAGCCCCAGCCGGTGAGTTCTGCTGCTGGGGGAGGTCTGCGTTTGCTGACAAGATCTCCAGCCCACTGCTTCGCCCAGGGGGAGCCAGGTGTGGTGGGTGGTGGGCTGTGAACCCCTGCCTCCACTGGCAGCTGGGAGGGAGGTGCTGCAGTGATTCCTGAGCTGAGGGGTGGGATCCCAGCACATTTGGACAGAGCAGGAGCAGGCGAAGGAATCAGTGGCTCTGGGCTGTTTGAGGAATTTCCAGTCAGCTTAAAACACAGGCATGGTGTTTGCTGATGTCACTTCTGAGGTCAGGAATTTTCCACAGATCATCTAAATGTGTCTTACAAACACCTGGGGCAGTGCTGGGTTCCAATCCCAGATCCTACCCCTCATTTTCTGTGTGACTTTGGAACAGTAACTGCCCCTTCCTGCATCCTAATTCCCTCACCTCTATCAAGAGGTTAATTATTAGTAGTACTGACCCAGGGTTGCGGTGAGGCTCCAGGGGATGCTGCAATATGCTTGGCATTTAGTAGAGACTCAATAATTGCTAGTATGACCACCCAAGTAGTCACCGTTTCAAAACGGTAGGTCAGACCTCTATCTTTTATGATCTCTCCTTATCTTTTATGATCTCCTCAGTCATTCCATTACATCCTACTGTGTGCTCTGCCCAGAAAATATGATTGAGCATCTAATATTTTATTTGTGGGTGGCACTTCTCTGCTCTTCCCACCCCAACAGAAGGCTTCATTTCTTCAATCCTTTGCCTTGGGATCATGAAGTCTTGTTCTTCCTGATCTTGACCCTTCTTGAACCTCCCTGATTCCCCCACCCACTGCCCACCTCTTTGAGTCATTCTTATACAACTGTATTTTTTAGATCCCTTCCATCATCCTTAGAAGGATCAATATTTGCTGTTTGGATTTCAGCGCGTGTCTAAGGAAGTGAGGTCAGCCACTGGTTTCTTTCATATTTTTACTCTTCTTGGCCCATGAGCGATTGGTCAATGTCAGTGGGGCTGACAAAGTGATAGAAAAATGTGGCAGTGAGTCAGAACTGGCCGTTGTGGCAGGCAGTAACCATCTTCTGGGGACACCCAGGTAAGCCCAGCAGCAGCCCCTGAAGATAGAGCCAAGTCCCGAGTCCTTTGCAGCCTGGCCTCCTCTGTCTGTCACAGTCTGGCTTCCTCTGTCTCTTCCAGCCTGGACCCAGATTGATGCTTCCAGCTGGAAGGTTGAGGGCGCAGGTCCATGAGGCATAAAGATGCACAAGGCTTTACCCCACATCCTCCCAGTTCACCCCACATGCCAGTGGTAGGCCATGAGCTGGGGACATATTCACTGGGAGCACTTTGTCCCCACAGTGGCTTGAACTGCTATTTACACCTGCCTTATTCCAGGGCAATTCCACTTCACTTGACAAGGTTTTACTGAGCAGTTGCTATGTGTCTGGGTCTCTGGCCCGCTGTCTCTCAGAATAAGGGGCAGGTTCAGGGCAGGGTGGGGGAGAGTGGGGGTTGTGATTCCCTTGGGCTGTGAGCCCATCTGAGTCCATCTGAATCAAGTGGGCTTCCTCCGCCTTCTCTCTCACCGTGCCCGCTTCCTTCCTCTCTGTTCTCCTATCCCCCAAGCCCTCTCCCTCTCTTCCCCACTCGTCCTCTCCCCAGCTCTGGGTCTCATCTTTACTTTCTTTCCCACACACTCTGCCGTCTCTTCCTGCCTTTCTAGGTGTCTTCGTCTCTATGTATGCAAGTCCTAGCCCTGCCGCTCCTTTTGCTCTCTCTCTCTCCTTCTCTCTCTCTCTCTATTCACCCTCCTTTACCTTTATCCCCTTAACTGCACCAAATGGCGAAACAGTACCAGTCCTGGTGGTGAAAAGCATCCCTTTAAAAAGGCAGCAGAGGATTCCCCTGAACCAGCGACTTCAGGGTTACCTGTCTCTGGCTGAGCCCTGGTTGGGGCCTCATCCTGCGTCCTATGTCCTGTGCACTGTCTGCTCGCTTTCTGCTGGGAACCTGAGCCTCTCCCTGTAAAATGGTCACGCATCCTTGAGAGTGACTGTAGTCTAGCAAGGTTGCAGCTTCTGTTTTCAGGGTCCTCTTTAACTAGCCCTTGGAGGTCACCAAGGTGAACACCAAGGTGTTCCGGGGGTGCAAGTGCCCGAAATGGTTTCATCTTGAGGATGTGAGAATAGTAACTCGAAAGGCATCTCCTGCCCCCTATGCCTCGGGATGGGGGGTGGAGTGTAGTTAACAAACTCATTTTGAACCTTGGTTCTGGTGTTTCCTCATTTCTTGGCCTCAGTTGAATCCAGACCCTCTGTTTTCCCATCTACAAAGTGGGCTAATATTGCCCAGCCCTCTGAGTTCTCTTGTGGGCAAAAAGGAAATAGAGATGAATGTATAGCAGACAGCTCGGCCCTACTAAACGGAGGATGTTGAGGTCTCTGTGAATTCCACCCCTACCACTCATGTGTGCTGAGACCCCGAGGATCCATGTCACATGATCCACACTTACCCCAGCGTCTGAGCCGGTAACAATAGCCTGTCTGAGTCCATCTGCACGCACATCCCTGAGGGCTACCGGGGTCCCGAAACGGTGGCATCTCCAGGGCAGCCGCTGCCAGTGTGGGAGGCTGAGCTCTGTCCCCACCTCCTGCCTGACTCATGATGTGACCTTAAGCGAGTGACTTCATTTCTACCTTTTTCCATTTCCTCTTCTATCAAATAGGGATAATCATATGCGATAAAGTGCACGGAAAGATAATTGCGACGTTAAATCAAGCCATTACTATTCAGTGCTGGCTTTTTTAATAAAAATGCTTGCGGCTCCCTGGAGCCCTCAGCTGACTACAATGTAGGACTATCACTGAGGAGATAAGCGGGCCGGAGGACCTGTCCCTTTAGAGGAGCTCCGGCCCAGGGCGGGGTGGTCCTGCGTGGTGTCCCTTTCAAAGATGCTGTCTCACGTGGTCCTTATGGGAACCCACAGGGAGGTGACACCCTAATCACAGGTGGGAAGGCTGAGGCTTGTGGAAGAGATGCCACTGGGGTCCCTCTGATCCCAGAGCCCGTGCCTTTCCCTCCTAAGGAAAAGGAAAATCCAGGCGAGCTTCCCTAGGGCCTTAGGCTGTGGCCTGGAGAGCAGTGGGTGACCTGTTCCTGGCTCACTTAGCCCGACCGGCAGGTCAGGGATGCCCGCATCAACAGTGCCCAGAAGTGGCTATGATTCCATCAAATGTTCGCGTGCCTGGAGGCCCAAGAAAACCAGCTGGGAAATCACTGGAGTCCTAAAACAATCATAACATTCACGAAGGCAGGCACAGCACACTTCATCTGCAAAGGCCAGAGAATAAATGTTTTTGGCTTTCTGGGCTGCTCAGACCTTGTTTCAAAATGATGGTGCTTTCTCTCTCGCTCATTCTCTGTCTGTGTCTGTGTCTGTGTCCGTGTCCGTCTCTGTCTCTCTGTCTCTCTCTTGCTGTACTGGGATCAAGGAGAAAGCTGTCCACTCGGCAAGGGTGGCTTTCTTCGTGACTGCCCCATGCAGAGGATTTCTTTGCAAAGCCCAGGCCTACCGAATCCAGCGGAGGCCCCTCCTTTCACCGAGGGCCACACAAGCTCTGCACTGGGGTCGCTCGCCTGCTGTCACCGTCACCCTTGCCAAGTGGGCTGCTGTCTTCTCTCACCCCAAGGACGGGCAAAGCTCCTTTCCCCTCAGTTCATCCCAAACAGCCGCGAGCCATCATCGCCAGGGCCATGGGGGATGTCCGACTTCCTGGGAAAGATGAGACTCTCCCCCGTCGAGACCCATCTGACACTTTATCCTATAAAGAGAGGAAATAGGGTCACAAGTCTCAAGGGCAATGTGACTCTGATAGGCTCCACTTTTAATGCAGGGGGATCTGGTAGAAAACCCATTTAGAAGCCAGGCAAACTTGGACAAGCTATGATTTCCCTTCTCCCAGCCTCAGCTTTGCCCTCTATATGATGGGTACAAAAGCTCCCATTCAGGGTTTCTGTGAGGGTTAGACTCATGTGCACGAGGTGGTAATTCACAGGCTGGAACCTTGTAGTGGCTCGGTGCTGTGGCTGTTTGGGGACTGGCGTGATCATGGATGAGGAGTGCCCTGCCCAGTCTGGCACCCCCTCCCCCAGGGCAGTCCATTCACCAATCATATTTTGGTCCAGCAGTGAGCTAGACCTCATGATCTTCCTTTGCCCTCCTCTTCCCATCCCAGTGGCTCGGATCCACCTAGACTGCAGCCTGCATGTTCCGCTTGTTAAGGCACCTACCATGTGACACACACGTGCTCAATGCTCCAGACATGGGGTCCCATCCCACACAGCCCTCTGAAACTGCATCAGCTGCTTCAGAGCAGAGAAAACGGTGACTGTTTATTCACTCAACAAACATGTACAAAGCTCTGGTGCGATTATTGCCTTCTATGCAGTGCTAGGACACCATTCATTCATTCATTCATTAGTGCTTGCCTGCTTGCATCAATCACTAAATCCTCCTTGGTCTTTCTCATCACACCCGGGAGAGCCACCCATTCTGCCCTGGCCTGTGAGGGCCGACAGTCTCGCCTCTGCTCACCTCTCTGCATTTTCTCCCCCGCCCCTTGTCCTTCCAGTCCTTCCCCTAACCCGGCCTCCCTGTCATCCGCAAACACATCACGTGCACTAGCATCTCAGGGACTTTGACTGACGTGCCTGCATTATGTGCTGGGGTCACATAGACGGCTGAAGGAGCTCAGAGGAGGGAGCTGATCCAGGTGGACTTCTTGGAGGAGGCAACTGAGGTTGAGTTTTGAAGGAGTGAGAGTTACCCAGGTCAGAGGGTGTGGGGTGGGATGGTGGGTGAGAAAGGTGTGCTGGCCGAGGGGGCCCTGTGTGCTAAGGCTGAGGGCGGGGTGTTGGGGCCCTCCTTGTGCAATGGCAGGTGGCTCAGCGGAACTCATACACGGCTGTCCAGCGCTGTGCACTTGCTGTGATGCCTTGGGCAGATGGTGCGATCTCTCTGTGCCTCCATTTCCTTGTCTGTACAATGGGGAGAAGACCAGCCCAGCTGTGGGCTGTCATGAGGACACTTCTCTTAGGACACAGAACACAGAGCACAGGGCCCACTCATAGTGGCCAGCTACTGCTGGCTCTGTGTTAGGGAAAGCCCTGAGTGCCGAGCAAGGGGTGGGGCTCCCTGCAAGGAGGCGCAGAGCCCCTGAGGGCTGGCGCAGGGCAGAGCTGCAGGGCAGAGGGACAGTAAGCCTGCTGCCAGGGGAGGGTGTCCGGGAAGACATGTCGGAGGCCACTCCACACCAGGTGGAGGCCGGCATGGGTTCCTGGAGGGAGTAGCTGGAGCTGGGTTTGGGTGGCTGCACAGAGGAGCCTGGGCACTGCCCAATGGGCATGAAGGTGAGCTCTGGAGCCCCAGCCTCACCTGGGCATGAATTCCACTCTAGGCTCCCTCTTGGCTCTGGAGTATTGGCAGGTTTCCATTTCCTCTCCTGTACAGCGGGCAGGACACTCATGCCAAGACACTGTGGGGATGGAGGGGTGACCCATGGGCTGCTCAGAACTTCGCAAAGCTCAGTAACCACCAGACTGACTGTTAGCCAGGGGCAAGGTAATGGGAAAAAGCATAGGATGCAGGCTCCAGTTCGCTCAGACACAGAGATCCACATTGGGCCTCCCGTTTAGATGGCAACTGGTGGTGTGGGATGCCTCCAGCTACGATTTGCAGGGGGCTCCCTGGATGCTAATCTTGTAAGAGGCTGGCTCAGCCATCTCTTGCTATCGGGGAAGACATGAGCCACCTGCTTTGTGTCTCCATGAAACTAGAGCGGCTCACTTGTCTGGAACCCTAATCTGCTTAGCACTGATAAAGCCTCGAGAACCCACAGGCTGGGAAGGACCTGGAGGAGGGCGGCAGACACACATTTGCTTCGCCAGCACCTGGGCCTGAGCTCAGGGGATTTACCAAGCCTCTCTGGGCACCAGTCTTCTCATCCATACAGGAGGGCTAATGACACCTGCCTGTCACGGTTGGCAGAAGGGCTGAGTTCAACACACAAGTCCAGCGCCCTGGGCACGCGGCTCCCTGGTCATTCACTGAGGGTTCAGCTGTGCATGAATCAGTGTTGATGTATAAGTAATCATAGTATGAGGTTGGGGGGGTCCAACAGAGCGGGCATGGACCCAGCTGCCCACTGCAGGCAGGATGGGGGCAGCTCATTGCCTCAGAAGTGCCCCCCTAACTGGCAAGAAGTAGATGCAGGGATAGGTAGGGAGGCATAGGTAAGGGCTCAATAAAATTAGTTATTATATTATAATAATATATTATATTATAATATATTATATTATATTAATTATTATTATTATAGCTGTAATTATTGGCAGGCTATGATGGGGGACTCGTGTATGCTTCTGGAACCAGGACCCCACTCTAGGCTATAGGTGGGACTCTGGGGCTCACAGAGTAGGAGCTTGGAACCCCCTGACCACCTGAGCAGACAGGGAAATGTGCAGGAAAGAGGGACAGAGGGAAAGGTAGATAACATCTCTAAGATTAGAAGTTCAGGAGGACCAGGGTGGGAAGGGAGTGGAGCCCCCAGCCAGTCAGCTGTGGGTGGGAGTTGGGGACCTCATATTTCCATATGGGAGATGCACACTATGCCCTTGGAGTGGCCTTGGGTCTTCACATTTGGCTTCTAAAGAATTGACTCTGAGAAAGAAAATTTGTGATAAATTACTTATAAAGCATCCACCCACCAAGTATTTACCGAGGGCCTACTATGCGGTGGCCCGGGTTTTAGGGAATGAGACGGTTAAGGTTTGTGTCCTGGGCGAGGTAACATTCTGTGGGGGAAGTGCTAACCATGGCCACCACACAGACATCAGAGAAAGGGGAAAGCATAGGCCCTGGTGAGTGCTGTGATAAAACCTCTGCAGCGTGATAGGAGAGAGACTGGGAAGCTGTTAGACACAGCAGCCAGCAAATGCTCTCTGGCCATGTGATATTTGATTCATTTAGTACAAGAAAAAATGAGTCATGTGGAAGTCTGAGGTCAGGGGACCGAAGACAGGAACAGAAGGTGCTAAGCCCCTGAGGTCTGTGTAAGGGACTCAGGGTGAGCAGGCAGAGAAGACCAGATGTGGCTCTGTCTTCGCGGAGCCACCGTCCAAAGGCTCACACAGCTAAGTGTGAAGTTTGCACTGCTTTGAAGGGAGAGATGCAAGTCGCTGGGAGGACAGGAAGGAGTAGCAGCTCATCCAGCCTCAGAGGTCAGCAAAAGCTGCCCGGCAGAGGAGATGGCTAATCTAGGACTGAGGTGCCAAGTAACAGATGAGGAGAGGAAGGGTTTTCTAGGCAGAAGAAACAGCACATGCAAAGGCCCAGGGGTGAGACGGAACCTGATACATTCATTAAGGGAAATTAAACAGTGGCTGTGGTTGGAGCTCAGAGCTGAAGCGCTGAGGTGCTGGGATGGGACAGAGTGTTCCTGACATTTAGGCTGAAAGCCAGGCCTAATCCCACGCTGTAGATATCACCACAGAACTGGTATGCTCACCAGGGTACTTCAGGCTGGGGTCAGGGGAGGACTGGGAAGCCGGGAGGCCAGCACAGAGAGGGGACGAAGGCGGAGCTATGGCCAGGGTAGATGGCAGCCCTAGAGCAGGAAAGGAAAGTTTAAGAGACTTTACAAAGTGTAGTTCAGTGACAGAGTGCTTGTCTAGAATACGAGAGGCCCTGGATTTAACCCCCCTTCCTGCAAAAAAGAAAAAAACCATAGAACAGATGGCTTGTGACACGCTGGGGAGCAGGGGGACAGAAGTCTTGAAGGACCCCTAAGGGCACGTAGCCACACGTCTTCTGGCTGGAAGGTGGCCAGAGTGGGGTGTGAAGCCAGACAGACCAGATCAAGCCCTGGCCCCCATTCATGCTCTGTACAATCACTGTCCCTGCCTGTGCCTCAGTGTCCCCACCTGTTAAGTGAAAAGGCACAGCCCACTGCGAAGAGCTGGCATTCCCTCAGAATGTGGACATATGGAAAAACTCCCAGTGTCCTGCAGCACCCTGCTCTTGTAATTTCCTGCCTCCAGCCCGGGCCTTAACTTCCATGTCCCGTCTGGCTCCTCAGCTACAGAATGGGCTTGAGGATGCTTGTCTTGCGGTGTCCCTGACAGGTGCAAAAGAGATGGCTTTGCGAGTCCAGGGCACGTGCCGCAGAGCACGGGCAGCTCATGGTCTTCTCCTTCTCCCTCCCCTGCAGGAAAAACCAAGAGGAATGGCGTGGAAGAGGCTGGTGCTGGCCGCCTGCCTCCTGGCGCTGCCCCCTGCCGCAGCGGAATGCCTGTCTCAGTGCTCCTTGTGCGCCGTGAAGACCCAGGATGGACCCAAACCCGTCAATCCCCTGGTAGGTTTCAGGGACGTTTCCTCAGCGCCCAGGCCTCTGTGCCGAACCTGGAGAAGGGCAATCACAGGGCAGCCTGCCCTGTGTTCATCCCACTGTACAGGGCTTGTCCTGGCCTATGGACAGCCTGGACACCCAGACCTCACCACCTGGGGCTCCCTTGAGCCAGAATAGAGACTTGAGACGCAGGTTTCCAGGGAGCTGGGTACCTGGCAACAGGAGTGTCAGTCAGGAGGGCTGGCTTTATAGTCAGCAGCTCTAGATTAACTTCAAGGCTTCTCACATAGGGCTGATGGGCCCCTTCAAATCCAGTCACTCCCCCAGAAAGAGCTATCTCCATTGTCCTGAACTGCCAGAACAGGTGGATAGGCCCCGGGCCTTGGCCGCCTGCAGTCCTCACCTCTCTTCGACTCTCCTGCCTCTCTCGTGACAGCAGGAAGGCTGGGGTAGAGGTGCTAAGGGTGTGATGGACAGCACATGGGCTTCTGTTCTGCACCTTTCTGGCTCCCTGACTCTGGAACCCCGCTTTGAGCCTCAGTTTCCTCATCTGCAAGGTTGGGGTGATTCTCTGAGATGCTGGAAAGTGGTGGAGATGGGCTTCCGGGATACGCACAGCGTGAGAGATGCTTTCTCCTCAGGGTCTCAGGAAAGCACTGTGGCTCAGCAGGCAGATCCGCGGCATTAGACTGCCAGGCTCAAGTTCCAGTAGTGTCCACTGCTGTCGCCACAGTCGTAGGCATTGTCCTGACTAAATTCTTCCCACAGCCCCATGAAGAATGTCCTATTGTCCCCTCACTGAGGCTTGATGCCCTCTCCTGTGTCCCCTCAAACATACTCTCTCTGCCATTCTGCATTGCTCTGTTGCTGCCTGTGAAGTGTTAGCAGCACCCTTCACACCTGGAAAAGGTGAGGAGAAGGGGAGGGATGAGCCCACAGAGCTTGTGGGGAGCTCCTACCTCCAATGCTGGCATCGCCCCCTATGGCTATGTGCCCTCTGGAAAGTGTTTCTCATCCCTCACCGGGGCACAGAGGCACCTACCCATATGCATTACTGGGAGCATGAAATGGGTAGTCAATTGCTTGGCAAGGTGGCACCCTTTGATTTTCCCGGACTTGGATCAGGGCTCTAGGGTGGGGTGGGGCCTGTGTTTTGGTGCTTTGTCAGGGGTGATATCACCACTGTGGTCTTGTCTTTGGGTCTTTTGCAGATTTGCACCCTGGAATGCCAGGAAACCGTGCTGCCCACTGAGGAGTGGGAGCGATGCCAGGGCATTCTGTCCTTCACCCCCTCTGCCCTGAAGCTCAGGGGCCAGAGTGACCTGGACAGCAGGGCAGCTTTGGAAGAGGCCTACAGGGAGCTGGCCAAGCGTGCCAGGCCCTTCCTGCAGGAGCTGGAGAAAAGTGGACTCCTCCCCAGCACCCTAGCAAAGGACAAGCTCAGTGGCCTCTCTGGTGGGCTCAGGGAGGGCGTGGAGTCTGAGTCAATAGGGGCTCCCCAGCTGAACAGTGGTGCTGTAGAGGCTGGTGCACTTGATTTTGATGAAGACCCCAAGGAGCAGGTCAAACGCTATGGGGGTTTCCTGCGCAAATATCCCAAGAGGAGCTCAGAGGTGGCAGGGGAGGGGGAAGGGGATGGGGACGGGGACAGTGTGGGCCACGAGGACCTGTACAAACGCTACGGGGGCTTCTTGCGGCGCATCCGTCCCAAGCTGAAGTGGGACAACCAGAAGCGCTATGGTGGTTTCCTCCGGCGCCAGTTCAAGGTGGTGACGCGGTCACAGGAAGACCCCAATGCCTACTCCGAAGAGTTTTTTGATGTATAAACAAACACGCCTCCATCCTGCAGCTGAGTGAGGAGCTTTCCCTGACACCTTCCCATATGGGAGCACATTTACTCCCCTCTTGTGTGTACCCTGTCCCCACACCCAGCTCATTACCATCTACAAAATATCCAGTCCGGGCTCACTTCTCTCCTGCCCTGGGTATGCTATTTGCCCCAGGGTCAGTGGCAGGGAGATCTGGAGGTCCCCCTCTACTGAGATCAGCGCTGGGCTCACACCCCTGCACTTCTAAGCTACCACCAGTAGCAGAAAGTGACTCTCCAGTTACAGAAGTCCAGAGTGAATTGTTCTTTTTACCTGTAGATCTATGACGGTCAAGTTTTGCAGATGCGTCCCTCTCAGAAGAAAAACGAGCACTTCACACACAGGTAGTATGCATATGCACCATAAACCCTGCACAGAGTAGAAACTTAAAATAAGAGAGATAAACGTAAATGGAAATCTCACTATTGTATTCTCAAACCCCAGAGATCCCTTTATGCACCCTACTTTGGAGACCACACATTCAGCATAAAGGCTGAACACTGCCTTTTTTTGGAGCAGGAATCCTGACACTGGAGAGTCCAGTCTTCTGGTAGGTTAAATGTTCAGTCTGGGCACTCTGAGTTCTCATCATTGAGAAATGCACCTCTTGAAGGACTGAGCTACTGAATGTATGTTCATGTTGGTACCCTTGACCATGCCCACCTCACAGAAGAGGAAGGGAGTGGAAACTCTTCCTTGGTGGCAGAGAGCGCTTTTGAATGCTCAGATGATCACAGAATAGCAAAGCAAACCATTTGTTCTGTGCAACAAGCTCAGAATGTGGACCAGTTCCCCCGGCCCTCGTTAAGCTAATTAAACCGATTGGTATCACACTTCTACCCCACGATGAACTGGAGCAGCTGAGTTGATGAGGTTAAACACAGCCATGTTCTTGAGCAGCTGAACTGGCTGCCAGGAGCCCAGCCATCTGGCCCAGCATATGCACTGGGCATTGGATCAGGGAGTCCAGAGGCAGCAGGAAAGGAAGAGTGCTGCTCCTCAGCCCCCATGACAATTCTTCTCTCTTAATGCCTCCAAATAAAACCAGAAAGGAGAATGAAATGATTGAGTGTTTGAGGGCAAGTGAGTTTCCTTGATTCAGATAACCCAGAATCAGAGGCAAAGACCTGATGCCTCGGTTTCCAAGCTCCTTCTCTCGCTCTCTTTCATCCCCAGGGCCTGTTTGGGTTGTGGGACCAGGAGACGGGCTGGATAGGAGAGGAAACAGACTTGAGTTTGGATAATTTGTGTAAGATGCTCTGAGCATACCTCTTCCAGCCGGGCCCCCAGGTCTCTCATTCTGAAATGTATAGATTGTTCTAGGGTTGCTTTGTGTGCTTTTTAAAAATTCCATTTATGCAATTTATTTGGAATTTGCTTAGTCTATAATAGGCCTGTGTAATTTCCTGCTCTTCCAGTATAATAAATAAAAGACACTAATGACAGTGTGTGTGTGTGTGTGTGTGTGTCTGCATACATTCAAGCCTCAGTCCTCAGAGAGAAGACCATTTGCAGAAATGTGTGCTAGGGAATGAAGCTAGCTAGCTAACTAGCTTAAAATTGAAAGTAGGGTCTGTGTGATCTTGAGTGGCTCACTGACCTCTCTGAACCTGAGTTCTGTCTTCTGTGATATGAAGACACTGACGCCAACTTTGCAGGGTGGCTTTGAGGATTAGGCGAGATCACATATACATAGCAAGTTAGGTCCGAGGGTTTCCTTTCCTATGTCGCCTCAGGGAACAGTGGCAGAGCTGGGCCCTCAGCACTGAGGCAGGGAGGCTGGGCAGAGGTGCCACACAGGGAGCCTGTGTCGGGGCTGCCTCGGTGCAGGAAAACCAGGACAGGGGAAGAGGTGTTGCTAACGAGCATGAGTGTGCTAAGGATGAACACTTGAGTGACAAGCTGGCAAAATGTCCCCTACTAAGATGACACCCTTCACTGAACTGTGCAAATGAGATGTCTTTAAATAGGAGCATCGATGTGACTCAGTGACTACAAGCCTCATGCGTTCCCCTGGGACACTCGGTTTCTTAGCAACTTCCTAGAAAACACAGGGTCTGGGAGGTCTCACTCATTTGACAAAGTATCACCTGCAGGCCTACTGTGCATGGTAGGAAGCATGGGACAACACAATGGACAAGGTCTCTGTTCTTGCGGGATGTACAACTTAGTGGGAAAGAGAAACATACACCTGAAAATATAAGGCTAAAATTCAAACAAGATCAAGAAAAGAACTGGGAATCAGGTGTGGTGGTGCAGGGCTGTAATCTCAGCACTCTGAAGGCTGAGGTAGGAGGGTTGAAACTTCAAGCCCAGACTGGGCAGTTCAGCGACTTAGCAAGAACCTGTCTCAAAAAATTTGTTTTTACAAAGGACTGGGGACATAGCTCAGTGGGAAGACCCAGTACTGAAAGCAAACAAAAAGAAAACAAGAGGAGAAGGGGAGGGGAGGGGAGGGGAGGGGGCAAAGCGAAGCAAAACAAAGCAAAGCGTGGGGATGTGGAGGTAAAGGACAGCAGGTGTAGGGAAAGAATCTCCCTAGGGTATTCAGGAAACCCTTTCCTGGGCATTATTCTGACCCTGATATTCTTAGGAAGGATCCTGAAGTTTGGGTTCATTTTATTCAGCCACTTGTTCTGTGCCAAATGAACACATCTATAACAGACCCTAATCTGCTAGAACATTTTCATTGACTTGGATTTTACAGTGTGTACCAGTCCTTGATGATTCAGCATTGAAAAGTTTCATCTTTTTTGTTAGGTTGAAGTTTAGGTTTCTATTACTTTTATCCATTGTGTCCTGATCCTGCTGACTCCAGCCTGGAAACTTCTCCAGGAAGAATTTTTTGTCACTGGAACACAAATGGCTCTTGATTTTCTCAACTGGGCTAAACAAACAGACAAGGCAGGCAATGTATTGGTTTACTTAAATGAAAATTCCAGCAATATTTACCTTCAGGTGGAGCTTGCTCAGGGGGCTGTCGTAAGAACCCCAGGATCTCTCCATCAGTGGGATCCTTTCTCCTTAGTGCTGGGTTCAGACCAAGGCTCCATGTGCTTTTAAAAACGGCTACCAGAAGCTTCAGGCAGTGTCATGCATGCTCAAGCCCCATGTCTCTTTTTCATGGCAATCCTAGTCAAGGTTTCCCTCTATCTTATTGGCCCTGATTAAGCCATATGTCCAATTGGTCCAACTGAGAGCTAACGACAATCATTGTGGTCAGATTAATGTGATTGGCAGGACTGAGCTACATGCACACCACTGAGCCAGGGATGGATTCAACCAGGAGAGCTGGTGGGAAAAGAAGGGGTGGTTCTGGGGAGGGGAAGTGGTATGTGGGTCCAGGAGGAGGAATGAATCCCAGACTACAAGCAGTAGACTATTGCCCCAGGGAGTGAAGGGGACTGGCAGGGCGAGGAAAGTGGAAGGCTTTCCCTACCCCTGCTATCCTTTACCTCCACATCCCAACGCTTACCTTTGCTTTGCTTTGCTTTCTTTGCTTTGCTTTGCTTTGTTTTGCTCCCCTCCCCTCTCCCTCCCCTCCCCCCTTCTCCCTCCCCTTCCCTTCCTTTCCTTTTTTCCAGTACTGGGCCTTCCCACTGAGCTAGGTCCCCACGGGCACACAGCCAAGAGCAGCCAGAAACCTGATTTCTAAGAGACTACAGACACCTGGACCTGCATCCACATCTCTCAGTTTTTCAGTGCAGCAAGTAATTTTTAAAAAGCAGTGCTAGGTTGGACAAACAATAACATGTTTGGCATCACACACATCATTCTCCCAGTGCTATTTTATGACACAAAATCCTTTCACTTTTTGGTGAGAAAGTCTCCTTTAAAAAGAAAATTTCCCCATGTTCTACAGATTCCAGAATACTGTTCTTCTGGCCCCCTTTGCTAGATTTATTCCACTTGATCACAGGAAGCATGGCCACACAAGGTAGGCAGAGCATGGCTAGGGTCTCAGAGAACCTGGGATCGGCTCTGGCATCCCTCGGGGCCACTGTGTGCCCTTCACTGAGACTCAGTTTCCAATCTGTCAGGTGTGAATAAAAATGCTGACCTCACTGGATGGAGGAAGATATCGAGCAATATAAAGTCCACAAGGATACAAAAGGGTGTGGCATGCACCACCCTGAAGGCGGTTCCTCTAATCGCGGTGATGTTGCTGGAGTCAGGCACACACCTGTCAGAGGGACAAAGCTCTGCTGGAAGTAAGAAAAGAGGGACACTAATTTTTTTTACCGAGCTGTGACAAACACGCTCTAAAGAGTGCTCCTGTAAGTGCGTAGCTCAGTGGAGTCTTACATGTTCACACACCTGTGCAGTCGCCGCTCAGATCACAGCACAGAACACGTCCATGTGACACCGTTAATGAGCTCTTTGTGGGCACAGAGAGCCAGCCAGAGTGAGAACTGGAATAAAAGCAAGCCAGTGCTTCCAGAGTACTGAGCCTTTGTCCCAAAGGGCACGGTCCCGTGGTCACAGAGCTGCCCCGGGTAAGGAATGCCAACATCTTAGTAACCGTAAAAATGCCCATCACTAATAAGCACGCGGTTTCTGTGACAACACCGCACAGCAGGGCTGTGAGGAAGTTTTGTCGTAATGATCACGCCCATCATTAGGATCCCTCACACAGGATCTCCCCTCCCCCCCTCAGCTCCAGCCCTCCGCACAAATGAGCCCAGCGATGGGGCTTGTCTGTTAATTAAAGGTCACAATGTGAAGGCAACAAAAACCCACGATGGTTTCAGGGATGATGATCTCCTAGCAGATGTCATTTTGCATTCTTGTTTCACGTGCTGGGTCCATGTTGCCTCCCGTTAGCTGTGGAGCTCTATAACAGATTTACAGTTGCTCCTGCGATATGTAAATGTGCACCTCTGTTGCATGCCCACAGTATCTGTCTTGTCTCTTTCCACCTGAAGCCCGTTATTCTGTGTCCCCGGCCTCCCCTCATGCTTCGTCTCCTTTGACAGGAAGTTTGCCTTCTGAAAACATGCACCTGTGTCACTCTGGCACCCTCATGACCATGCTGATCGCCCGCAGGACCTGCTGGGAGGCTGGGAAATGACTTCTGGCTGTTTGGATGTGGGAAGGAACACCACACTGAGGGTCTCTGGAGTGTGGACCCTGCTCGCTAACCGGCCATGGGAGGAGGCTATGACCCCTCTGAGACACAGATTTCTCGTCTGTCAAATGATATTGGTAACAGTGTGAGGACTTTTGTCCTTGACACACAACACCTGATCTGCATTGATCAATAAACACTGGACAGCACAACTGAGCCTCACTTCCCTCACCGTAAGATGAGGGTGATGATTCCTGCTCTGCCTCCTGTGAGAGGACCCGGGGACAGGCTCTGACCCCAAGTTGTATCATTAGTCAGTGTCCTCCCACCTGAGTCTGTCTGGTCTTTGATGAACATCCGCTGGGCATCTGTTGCGGACCCAGCACTGGGTAGGGGGCAGAAAGCTCAGTGGTGGTCAAGCAAATTCCTACTCGGAGATACCAATTGACTATAAAATACTAAGCAGATCTCAGTGTGTCTGGTGATTCTGAGCCCTGGGAAGGAAAAGAAAAGGCACAAGCTGCGAGTGATGGAGGGCAGGGTGGTCACAGACCTCTCCGAAGGGGAACATATGACCAGAGATGTGTAGGAGGTGGAGCGGGGAGCCCGGTGTGTGGCTGTCTGTGCCAGGTGATGGGGAGGAGGAGGGTTCCAGGCAGAGGAGGAAGGTGCTAGGGCCCAGAGACAGGTCCTGTAGTCCCCACAAAGCAGAATACAGAAGCTAAGGGAATGAGTGAGGGCGGAGGTAGGAGACGAGGCTGCAGAGGTAGACAGCACCAAAATGGCGCATGTCAGCACTGTCCTGGTTTACACTGCTACCCAGCAATCGTGCAGCCCCTTTAACTCTCAAAGTATCCTGGTCTGGGCAGTTTATATGTTGCTCAACGTATGGGCCTTGAAAAGGACCTTGACTTTCAACCTATGGTGAGATGGGAGCCACCAGAAGGCTTAAGCACAGCGGGGCACCATCGGAGCTAGATGGAAAGGGGTGGCCCTGGCTGCTATGTGCTAGCTGTTATGGTTTCCATTTAGGGTCCCCCCAAAGCCTCATGCCATTGTAAGTGGGGCTATTGAAAATGACTGGATTATGGGGCCTTATAGCTGATTTGCTGTTAGGAAGTAGGATCCATGCAGAAGACGTGGGTTGCCGTGCCAGGGCCTGGAAGGGTTCACCTCTCTCCCTTCCCTTGACTCTGCTTCCTGGCCCGCATGCAGTGAGCAGCTTTTCCTCTACCAGGCCACTCTGCCCTGGAGCCGGTGGACCGTGGACCAGAACTTCTACAAATGGAGTCAAAGTAAACACTTCCTCCTTTAAGACATCAGGTAATATGTCAAGCAATAGGAAAAGTGACTAAGACAAGAGCTCTTCAGGAGCAC